TTCGGGGAGGCGAGAGGAGAAGGATCCGCGCCGGCTTTAATGATGAAGAACCGCAATAATCAATGTTCAATCTTCTTTTGGTGGAGTAAATTGGTTCGCAGTCCCTGGCCTTAACATGAAAGGGATGAGATCTGGTACTGGTGAGTATTGGGTTGCTGATATTGTTGAGTAATAGTAGCCAAAGTTGCATAGGTCTCGGGTTCACCCCATTTGAATTGCTTCTAATTTTCCAAAGGAAATGGTTGTAAAGCTGGATGACCGCAGGCAAATATCCATATATTCAGTGGAATTTTTTCAATTTCTGAAATATTAAGTACAGTTTAAGTGTATGTGGATTTGTTCACCAATCTGTATAACGAAATATTTATTCAAAAAAATATTCTGCGTGAGAGACCCCCGATACATATACATTTAAGTGGGAAACCTGCCTCACTGTTATCAGCAGATAACACAATAAAGCATTGGAGACAATAATTACAAACAAAGATGTTTTATTTTAATTTTTTCTGACTTAACGTCCATCATTCTGGGAAGTAAACATAAAGTATTATAATTAAATACCCTTATTATTCATTCAAAATATTTCCCACGATTCTGATTAGCTAAAAGCACACGCAAAATTCACCATAACCAGCTCCTGATGACCAAATGTGGAAGAATTTTGCGTTTAATGAACCGATGACGTCAAAAGTGCACCTTCTTGCAGGTTAATGCACCGTTAACCGAGAAGACCTGGGGACGGGGTTCAGTTGTTTTGAAATGACTGACATTTCACTCTTTTCAAGAGTAAGAACTAGGCAAAATTAAAGCTAAGAGCGTGGCAAGGACAGCAAGAACACAACTCAAAGGGCCGGCTACATCTGGAGATCTGGAGAATATTTGGGGAGCTGAACAACCCTAAACGTGCACTATCGAAGATGAACTTAACATCGATGGAGGTAAGCATGTTTTAGCTTTGTTTTTAAACTGAGATTTATTTTGAATAAATAATAAAACAATTATTGAATTCGGCTTTCGTATCATATTAAGAATTTTGAGATCTCGGAGGGCAATAAATTGTTCATAAGATACTCAGCCTCATTCATCAATTGTTAATTAAATCAGCGCAGCCTTATCGTAAATAAGCTTAGGCTGCAAGAATGTAAGTATTTGAAAAAGCATTCCAGTGTCATTAATGATTAGTGACGACATTATTGCCAATTCACTTGCACGTAAATGGTGACTACAAAGGTCTTTCACAAAGACTATAAGCATTTTACAATACTCCTACAATCAGCATAGGGACCAATGGCATCACTGCTATTTTCTAGCTGATTTTAAATTTAGTTCCCTTAGCTTTCTTAAATCAGTGAACGCAAGAAGAACGAAAGTAATAGAAAGGGAAAGTAAATACAAGGCTTATTCATATTACTGCAGTTCGAACGACGTACCTTTGGAATGAGGAATAACATTTGCAAACATTCAAGTCGCAAATCACAGCATCAAAGTCTTCTAATTTCTAACCCGCGAGTTGTTTCATTTTATTCATTTAGTATTGTTAATGTCCGGTTAATTATCTGTCATATCATTCAAAATCGTCTTCATATTTGTCAAGTTTGGCATATTTAGAAGTTAGGAACTAATCTACTTACACCTTTGATGAAGATCTAAAATGACTGATGGTTAAACATTTTACTTTGCCACTAAAAAGACTTGACTTTGTGCCACCAGTAACCATAACAAATAAATGTAACCAAGGTCTAAAATGTTCTCAAGAAACAAAGGTAAAGAGGAGAAAAGTACAGAAAGCAAAAACAAAAGGCTTACGACTTAGTTTGACCAAGTACATAAATCGCTGCAGATTCAAGTGGGTATGAAAAGCAAAAACTGAGAAACTTATCTGCTACCTCGGAGACAGTTTACCTGACCGCCGCCCGTTAGCTTAATTGGATAAGCGCCAGTCTGCCGTGTCGGGCGGTCGAGGGTTCAAACCCTGGGCGGATCGACACTCAGGGTCTTTAAACAACTTAAAACGAGTGTGCTGCCGTTGTTCTGACATCTACATGCAAAAACGGTTAGACATTCTAGTTTTCTCAGACAAGGACGAAAGACAAAGACGAAAGGCCCAGTCTCTTTCGCAGCTGACTGATTGTTGCAGAACATAAACACACTGCTTCCTATGAAGCCTAGAGGGCGTATATCCTGATGGACTACCCTTTACAGGTTGGGTGGGTATCAATTGGGACGCATGCACAAGCCCTGTCTCCACGGTTATTCGAGACGAGACGATAGAAGAAGACTTAGAAAGATAATGCATTTAATCATAATAAGTATTTACCAAATCAGTAAATAGCAATTTTCGCTCGTTTTGATTGGCTTCCCTAACTCAGAATGTCCTTAGCTATACACTGTTTTGCGACCGGAGCCAAGATGGCGTCTCGTTTCAAGACATTTTCGGAAGACGAAATTTGAGCGATAATGAAGGGGTCGTACAAACAAATACCAAGAAACTGACGACCTTTGGCTTGTCGGTGTTTACTGGTAGGTGGAAAATTATTTCCATGCCGAATTTGCAACAAAATTATAAAAATGCGCTTGACAATATCCCGAAATGTTTGTGAATGGTAAACAAAGTTCCTACTAAGTGACGTTTTTAATTGACAAAAAGTTACTTTTTTCACTTTCATCCAACAGATTTGGTAACTACTTAAACAACTCTCACCCTCAGAGTCGACGAACAGCGCTAGATATACACCTCGACGCTTCGCGTCTCGGTATATGTCCAACACCACTATTCACCTTCCCTTCGGGGGATAGTTGTATACTATAGCGAAGATCTCAAATCTGATTGGAACTCAGCTGTCCAGATTTTAGCATTATAGGCCAGTGTAATAGGACAGGATGAGTATGCGTCATGCCTGAGTAATTAGACAGTATGCGCCATCAGTGAGCGCACCCAAAAGTGTGTGTGTTTTTTACTGCTAGCAAAAAATCTCGGAATGACCGGAATATATTGCGTATCAGTAATTTTAAAATAGCTTTTATTATCACAAATGTTGTTGTAGTTATCTGGTCTCGTCCTACTCGTGATTAAACAAATCGGGCTACCGTCGTCCGATTTGTTGGGCCCTTTTGCTTTTGCGATTTGTTTAATCACTCGTATGATTAGAGACCGAATTGGACTCCACTGAGTCCTATCACCATTATAAAAAGGCATGTCAAACAACAGGAAAGTATTTTCCTGTGGAGAATGAGCAGTTTTAATTAATTTAATCAACAATAAGAAAACAAAGAAGCAATTTGCAGGGGGGATTGCAAATTGAATACAAAAAGATGCCGTAACGTAACTAATTGCATTAAGCACTAATTTTACTCAATCCGGTTGCACTGTTGCTAATATTGAGAGCCGAAATGTAAAAAATAGCCATAATATAGTGTTTAAAAATAACTGGGCATATTTTGTGACTCCTTCAGTGAGTGCACCATGAACTATATACTACGAAGTGTAGTAGCATAGGAACCATTCTTAAGAGTTGCTGAGTGCTACTGTAAACTAGGGGTAGGGAAGAGCTTAAACAGTCAGTGGTAAATGTTCGCATTCTTACTCGCAAGCGAAAGGTTTTGTCAGATTGTATGAAAAAAGCCTCATCGTTTTGCTTTCTTGGAGAACTATACAGAGAAATGAAAGGTTTGATATACTCTTCAAAGCCACACTAATGCGTTTTCGTTTGCGGAAACGTATAGTAACTATACATTTTGATGCGCTTAGGCCTTCCGCCATACTAATACGCTGAGCGTTTTGATCGAAAGTGGATACACATCGTATTAGTGTGGACGGTCGAAAACCCATTAAAATAGAAACGGTGACCGAAAATGTCCCAGGCACGTGTGCTGGTTGCATGCGCATAGAATTCCAATTACAGTTCTATCTTTAATTTTTCGAACGGTTTAGTGGGGACAGTCGAAAACGCATCAAAACAGTAGTGTGGACGCAAATCAATCGATGCGTTTTCTGTGACAACGAAAATGAATACTTTCGAAAACGCGTGAGCGTGAACTGAGCTTAAACGTGTCGAGAATTGAACTATAAAAGGGAGCACTTTGTCGCCACTCAGCTATTCTTTTTTTACAGCTACATTGTACGCCTATTTTCTTATTTGCCTTTTTGCTATCTATTCTAAAAGTGCGGAGACTTTATCAAATCCAACGAACTGCATTGTAAAAAAGATTAGCAAGATGTAGTCTCTTGTGGGCTCTGACCTTTGGGTAAGTAATCAATGGAATGTTCAGTCTTTGGTTGGTACTCGTGTTCCTCATTATATGTGTCGGCTGATGACTGGCCAGCAACACTTTGCTTCTCGTCCTTTGGTTGTACTTTGAAGTTGCTTACAGGTGATTCGTTTGACGCTTTTTTGGGTTCATGGTTTTCTGGGCCATCAGCGTTATTTGGCGACAAGTTAGACCCATTGTCTTGATTTCCAACGTCGGCAACATCGGATTCTTGGAATGCTTCGTTAACGTGGGATACTTGTTGTCTCTTGACTGGATTATAACTGAGTTCTGATTTACTTGGTTTCGTATTACTTGTCTTTTCCCCAAGTGCTACACCAGATGGTTCCCCAGGCAATGATGGATAAAGAGGATATGCTGGTTCATCGTAAATCGGGTTATTAAAGGATGCATTTGTCTTATGCTGAATCTGGTCTGCAGAAGGGGAACCAACATCCTCGCTTCTACTTTCCATTTCCACGGCTTGCTCAACGGCATGAATGTGATCGTTTCCTCTGGAAGAAGTACTCATAGGCCCCTTATTTGCGGCATCGAGGTGCTCTAAATATCCTCGGCTTTCCACATGTCTTTTATGACTGAATCTGGAGAAATGCAATTTAATAATCAATACATAATTAAAAGTTTTATTTTCAGACAATCTTCTTCACTAAAAGCAAACGACAAAAATTATAAACAGCATTTGAACGCGTTAGTGAAAAAAAAAAAAAACAAAAACAAAAACACTCGCGAAACTAGAAGTACCTGCCAGCCTTTTTGCATCCTATCAGAGCGGCAACAATAATGATTAAGAGCAGTCCACCACCCAACGACGCCCCGATAATAACGTTCAGTGGTTTCGACTGTCCGTCGTTTTCCTTGTCGACTTCCCCGTCGTTCAGTTCCCCTGCGTCAGATGGTAAAGGATCGGCACTTAAGATTTCACCTCCAATAGATGTTTGAATGTTCTCTTTATGGTCCATCACGATCTTACTCAATACTGTCTGAGGGACAACACTGCTTTGAGAAATTCCTCGTGGAAGACTCAAGTAGAAAGCCAGTAAGATTACACCAGGAGAATCGTCTGACTGTTTGGGATAACCAGGAAGAATTTGAACCATGTCAGCCGTAAATTTGACATCTAAAGACATGCGCCTTCGTCTAAAGATAAAGAAAAATAAAAATAAAGATATCATACATGTAAATAATGAGGAAATGTTTACAAAAGGACTTTAAGGACGTTAATGAAGATGTGTTCGTCACAATGGTAATTGCAATTTAAGCAACTGCAAACTTAACGAAAGGAATTGTTCACAAAAGGATTTTACGGACCATTTAAGGGCCATTTTATCATGGGCATTAGCTGAATTCCCGCTTTTTTCCCAAGCTATAGAGGTTTTTCACTCATGTGGCAAGCAGCTATGTGAATTTATTGCGACAAAAGACAGCATTTACATAGTCTAATCTGTAACATGTGGGTACTTTAAATGCGTTAAACGTATATCGAATTATTTAAAATTCGATTGTCATCTAGTGATTGATTTAATAGTTCATTCGTGTCTGGCAAACAAAAATAAACAAAAACCATTCACCTTGATTGATTTGGGAAACATTGAGCTTTTGCACAATATTCCCTCGCTGCTGCTGCAACTCGGTTTTTGAAAGACTGTTCCATGTTTTGGTCCCACTGATAAATAATAATAATAATAGCAAATAAAAACACTCCGGTATGAGTAAAAGGCAGAGCAACAGCAAACGAAAGAATAATAATAAAAAATACATAATAGTAATAACTACTAATAATAATGATTTTTCTATCCTTTAAAGAGGTAAATGTTATACCATAGAAATCCAGGGAATCTCGATTTACACTATGAAAATTCCCGGGAGTGAATAATTTACCCCGTGATCCTTCTAACCTCAGGTAGATTTTAAGGCATGGCTCTGCTATTTTTTATTTTATTATTATTTTTTTTGCTCTGAAATATAAGGGGTTGGTCTATCTTCAAAAGAAAATGCGTAGCAATTGTGAGTCGTGGACATAACATTATCCCTGTTAAGATTGACATCACCATGGAAACTTGTTGCGTGACCGTATTTTTTCTTTAAGGAGGATTCTGCAGGCAGGGTTGGAAAACGTTTACTGAGAGTTTTTCTTGGTTATGTTTTTACCTATCTAAAGTAATTTCCAAATGTAACTTGAATGGTGGTTTGCCTACTTTTAATGAATGTTTTCTAGCCGTCACGTGACAGAAATATCGTAACATTTCAATGACCGCGTGACCTGGACATGCCTTCCAGTTAGTTTCGTGCACATCCCGAAACGCAAAACATTTTTAGCGTTAATTGTTAAGTTAAAAATTGTAGTTGGACACCTAAATGAGTCACGCCATCCTTACTTCACAACTTTCAATTTGTAGTTCCATTCTCCACCTTAAGAAAAGATTTCATTAGAAGTTGGAATTATTTCGCTATTTCTCTTTCACTTTTTACATACAGTTCATTTTATTTGTTGGAAGGTAAGCCTTAGAAATTAAAGGTTTGATCAATTCACGCTCGCGCGTTCTAGTCCTTTTTTTAAACTTTATAGACAGACATCTGTGAGCAAGGACTAATGTAATCGTCCATCGTTCTGCTAGTGATAAGCTAGCCGTTGATTTACTCGTATTCCCTTTTAGGGACTGAGTCTTATTCCTCCAAGAGAGAAAGAGTGTGTGGGAAATTGTTTCCAATCAATCAAAGGGGGGGGGGGGGAGGGGAGAGATTTGTGAACTCGTGTCTCGCAAACTCTTCAAGTGTTCATATAAACACTGAGCTGTGCGCACGTTATAACTTCATCTGTACTTAACGAGTGTCTTTTGGTCCATAACCTTTAAAAACAGCTGGACCACCGAGTGTCATTGATAACACGTAACGCTGATAAATGTCACAAAATTTACCAACGCGTTCCCTTCGGGTTTTTTTGTTTTACGTCATCATAACCATCTCTTACTTTCTGGCATACACTGACTGTATACTTCAACTGTAAGTACTTACAGTTGAAATATATTTAGCGCAAGTTACTAGAGTGCCTTCTCGGGATTTCCCTTTCTGCGCGAAATCCCTGCAGGGGTAATTATTAATGGTAAGTCACTAAGAACCATGGGGGCGGTATGGCCGTACACGACACAAGTGATGCCATCTCATAAACCAGTGAACTTCAATTACTTCACTCAGTAAAAAAACATGTTAGAAGAAGGCTTATAAGAACATGACCATATTACACTAAACACCACAATATATTGCGTAACAAAGCAACAGATAGATAACGGGAAATTTATTTATGAGCCGACGACAATCGTGTTATATAAACTACTATGCAAGCCGTGAAAACAGCACTCAGCCGACAGCAAATAAAAGATCATCGATTATTGCCTTGAAACTCCGATTAACAGTAAAATAACTTACCGCTTGCTAATCAATCTACTCGGAGCCCCTGGGAAAAAGAGTCGAGAGGCCACCCTCAATATCTCAGAAACTGCTTACCATTTGGACCCCCCTCCCCACCCCCCCTCTGAATTTCCGTTGACCTTTACCCGTCGACTCTGTTAAGGACCTGGGTAGTAAACTCTCATTCAACGACCACATAATTAAAGCATCATCATCTTGTATATCTGCCCTAAGGCAAATTAGCCGAGTTAAACATATATTTAGAAAAGACATACTTGTTGCCCCCGCAGGCATTTTCCCCAGAAGGCGAAATCCCGAGGAGGCACTCTAGTAACTCGCGCGTATATTAAGGAAAGTACTTACAGTTGAAATATACAGTCAACAGTCATTGCCCCCGCAGGGATTTCGCCCAGAGGCGAAATCACGAGAAGGCACCCTAGTAACTCGCGCGTATATTAAGGACAGTACTTACAGTTCAAATATACAGTCAGTATACTAGAAAAAATCTCGATTTGCTCGAACTGGGGCCGCGAGGAATCGGTAGGTAATGATGACGTTTCTATTGTTTGCGCCCGCAAGTACGAAATGTTTAGGATGACGTAAAGACAAAATCCCGAAGGGACCGCTTAGGTAGATTTTGTGACACTTATTGTGCAGTCATACTTCGATACTCTTTTGCGTTACGCAGTGACCTTCTGTGGAGCAGTTGTTTTGAAAGTTATGGACCAAAAGACACTCGTTAAGCGCAGGGGAGGTTATAAGGTGCGTTTAACTGTGTATATATAAACACTTGGAGAGTTTGCCAGACACTAGTTCACAAATCTTTGATTTATATTGGAAACCTTGCCAGACACTCTTTCTCTCTCTTTGACCGGAATAAGACTCAGCCCCAAACAAGCAAGACGAGTGAACAACGGCTAGCCTATTACTAGCAGATTGATGGACATTTACAGAAATTCGCCGACAATCAAATTCTGTGTTGACGTTATAAAGTTTCAAATAAGACTAGAATGCGCTAACGTCCTTTTAATTTCTAAGGCTTACCTTCTGGCAAATAAAATGAACTGAATGTAAAAAGGGAAAGAGAAATAGCGAAAAATTCAGCTTCTAATTAAATCTTTTCTTATGGTTTAGAATAAATTATTCTCGAAACTGATAATGTTTTGATGAAAGCTGTGTAAATCAAGCTGAAACTGTGTATGGAACCTTGCGTTTCCTGTATTTATCTCACCTATTGTATGGAATATGTGTGAAAATCTTCATTATGAATCGGTATATTTCAAAGAGCTACACAACCAGCACGAATACTATTGACCGACAATATACAGAACGGGGGCAGCTGTAGTGTCAACTATTACTAGTTGTAGGAAAAATCTCGATTTGCTTGAACAGGGGCCGCGAGGAATCGGTAGGTAATGATGACGTTTGTATTGTTTGCACCCGCAAGTACGAAATGGTTAGGATGACGATGACGTAAAGACAGAAAATCCCGAAGGGACCGCTCAGGTAGATTTTGTGACATTTATTGTGCAGTCATACTTCGATACTCTTTTGCGTTACGCAGTGACATTCTGTGGAGCGGTTGTTTTGAAAGTTATGGACCAAAAGACACTTGTTAAGCGCAGATGAGGTTATAAGGTGCGTTTAACTGTGTATATATAAACACTTGGAGAGTTTGCCAGACACTAGTTCACAAATCTTTGATTTATATTGGAAACCTTGCCAGACACTCTTTGTCTCTCTTTGACCGGAACAAGACTCAGCCCCAAACAAGTAAGACGAGTGAACAACGGCTAGCTTATCACTAGCAGAACGATGGACGATTACAGACATTCGCCGACAATCAAATTCTCTGCTGACTTATTCCCTGCTCACGGATGTCCTTCCGTTATAAAGTTTCAAATAAGACTAGAATGAACGAGCGTGAATCGATCAAACGTCCTTTTAATTTCTAAGGCTTACTTTCCGGCAAATTAAATGAAGTGAATATAAAAAGTGAAAGAGAAATAGCGAAAAATTCAACTTGTAATTAAATCTTTTCTTATGGTTTAGAATAAACTATTCTCGAAAATGAGAATGTTTTGATCAAAGCTGTGTAAATCAAGCAGTGAAACTGTGCATGGAACCTTGCGTTTCCTGTATTTATCTCACCTATTGTATGGAATATGTGTGAAAATCTTCATTATGAATCGGTATATTTCAAAGAGTTACACAAGAGGAAGAATACTATTGACCGACAATATACAGAAAGGGGGCAGCTGTAGTGTCAACTATTACCAGTTACAATAATTGACTCTTTCGTGTTTAGTAAGTTGTATCACTGCTCGTCCGTCTGGTCGAATACTTCTTCCAGCAATATACGCAAACTACAAGGAGTACAGAATTTCGCTGCTCGCATAGTTTCTGGGACAAGGAAGTTTGATCACGTATCTCCAGCCCTGAAAGACCTGAGATGGATACCAATAAAGTCCCACCCGTATCTAAGAGAGGCCATCTTGGCCTTAAAATCTATGTCAAGTCAGGTATCAAACTACCTCAGTTCAAATTTTATCTCCAGAGGGAATATCAGTGGATCTTCCCAGCTTAATATGCCGCATTTTAAAACTAAGTCTCGGGACAGAGATCTTTTTATTACAGAACTGTAACATTGCGGAATGCGTTAAAACCCCATTTTAAATTAAGTGAATCTCCTATCATTTTCAAACGTAAAATGAAAGCCTTCCTTTTCAATCAATTTTAAATGTCATAAATTTATATGTAAATAGTTTCTTAATAGTTTATTAATAATCAATTTGTGATGTCATAAATTCTATATGCAAATAGTTTCTTAACAATTGTTTATTGACAATTCTTGAGTATTTGTTTGTTTTTTCGTTTGTTTGTTTGTTTGTTTTTTTTTTTATTACCTGTACTATTAATATGTCTCTGAAAAGCCCCCATGGGGAGTTGACGATAAAATTTGTATTGTATTGTATTGTATTGTATGGAAGGGAGGAGGTGGAGTATGGATATTTTCTGGAACTACACAGTCAGACTTAATACTTACAACGAGTTTAAACTCTCACGTAAGTTTCGTGTCAATATGTTGCATATTTACGAAGATAGACCACTCCCTTCATTTTTTCTTTTTTTTTTTACGTACTTTAGACGACTCAGTCCTTAATTTACCTAGACCATCCGTAAAGCAGTGCAGATACCTTTTTTTGAAGCTTACAAGCCTCCTTTGTTATTTTTCTACATTAAAATACCCACAGTTCCTTTTAAGGCTGGGGACATAACAGCGAGCTAGCAACTTGTGTTATTCCTGTATTATCAATTAAAAAAAAAAAGAATAAAAACAACGAGCTGCAGTGTATGGACAATCTATTTTGGGTACTACTAAATTCACTGACACGAAAAGAGCTACCTTTTCTAAATCCATATTATTGACCTTCAACATAACTGATTCTTTCACCACTTGTTCTGATGGCGTTTGTACAACGGGTGTGTTAGTACTTGGTTGTAACGTTGAACCATCTGCAGTTGGCGTTGTGGTAGCATTTTGATTTCCGGCTGAATAAGTGCTTGGCGGTAACGTTGAACTAGCTGCAGTGGGCGTCGAATGAGCATTAGCTGAAAGATGTAAAGTATGGAAAGGTTAAAGCTAGAGAAGGTTTATGTTAACATAAGAGAGGATGATAAACCAATTTTTTTTTTTTGAATGCATCAACATGGCCGCCGTCTTGTTGTTTTGGGACACCAATATGGGAGCTGTTATCATGCGAAAACGAAAATTAAAAATTAGAAAATTAATAGTAATAACAATAAAAATGGTAATTATTATTATTATTATTATTATTATTATTTTTACTTGAATTTTGGCGCGAAAGTCTTGCATTTTTAATTATAATGATAAGAACAATGATCACAAAAAACAACAACAAAAAAACAAATTCCTATTTAAAATCAATTTCCCTTAAGATGATTCGCTGGTTTTGATGAGTTCGACTTCCAAACCGAAAACCTCGATGGTGGATGTTAAACTTGTGCTAACTCACTTTTATTTTCATTCAAGCGCCATCTTTATCACATTGCGTCCTAACCGTGATACACAATATAAATTCTGTAAAAACTGATTTTTTCATTGCTTTCTTCTCCCTTCCATATACATCCCATTTTGAAACTCGCCCCAGTCCTGTCTCAAAAATCGGAGGAAATGCATTTAGTGCGCACTTTCTGCAGCTCTACCACAACAATGAATTCGGTGACCCCCATTTTTACTTCATGATTTTAATAAGAACAGTGCTTCCTTTCAGTGGGAGAAAATTGACTTAAACCTTTTGTTCAGTTTCTTTTTTGGGCAATTCTACAGAATCGTATGGATTGAGCTGTAACGGGCCGACTAGCGCGTGTTCAATTCAAGTTCACTTTCAAGCCTAAAGTAAGAACAACGGCATTAAACAAAAACAATAAACAATACATTTAAGTCAAATTCTGTGCGATACATCATGCATCATAGAAAAAATCTCTCCTTTTTGTCTAGGTTTGGGCTGCGCACGGTTCTTTCCAAAGGGTCCTCAATAGCCGTATTCGTCAGCATTGTGACGTGAAAACGAGCATGGTGACCCCCATTTTTTATTACTTGTTTTTATCAGCTTCTGGACTTGTTACATCAGTGTACCAAGTTTCAACTACAATCTATGTTAGTTTTTTTTACGCATACTAAGGAATCACATAACCAAACTATCCAGTAAAAGTACTTTTTACATATACTTAATTCATATCAATTAAAACACACGCTTAATTTCGACAAGTTCATTTCATTATTATTATTATTATTATTATTA